AAACTGGAAAGAAAAATAAGTATAATAAGACTGGTTTTTTGGATCTAAGTCTGGGACTTTTTTCTGGGGCTTTCTCTGCTATTTATACTTCTCAAGGATGACCATTGAACTGCATTTCCAACCATCGAACTGCTCCTCCATGTTCGCTGATCATGTTGCCTTGTAATTAGCCCATTATGCCATCACTTGCAGTTAGACTTCCCTCCTAAATTTGAATTTAAATGTGAGTAATCGTTAAAGCCACATCACCTCGCCTATCTTTCTTGATCCACTGCTACTCAGATCTCGTAATAACCAATACTAACTGCCACGTGTACGATCAGGATCGAAGACTTGACTAGCCTTCCTGTATTACCCTTATTCTGTCACGCATCGAATTGTAATTGGTTTGTACAAAATATGTAGCCAACATTACCCCCCGTACTAATGTACCCAATACTTGGTGATATTAGTGGATCAAGGTCTTTTTCCCACGTCTTAGAACGTGCATGGGTTTTACATTCTCCCAAAAATGCAACTGTCATCTATCATCTGCATTAAACTCTCCTTCAATCTTTTGAACACCCCCACCACCTTAGTATTTGAACAGACTAATACATTTTTTATGGCCTAATCAATTTTCCCCTCCATTGATCGAGCACACGAAGAGTCATATGATGATGTTGTTCTTCCTCGAAAGAACCTCCATGCATTAATTAGCCACATTTACCCACCTTTCTATATTCAGGTCATGGATGCCTTTGCAAATTATCAATCCTTGGACTTCAAACATATTGCCCTTAATCCTTCGATTAAGAAACTTACAAATATGGACATGAGAAGTTCTTCTTCTAAATCACCCTTGGACTACGAACAAACTGCTCTCAATCCTTTGATTCAGAAAGTCGTAAATATGGACGTGGGAAGTTCTTCATCACAACCCTCTGCATGGGATAAGGCTGCAACTTCTTCCTCTTCTGGGGCTTCTGACTAGACAAGCTGGTCAAAACCTGAGGCCTGTGATTTGAGGAAATGAATCAACTATCACTTTGTCGAGTTTACTAACCCTTTAGAGTTTCCTTCTTATGCGCGAAGCTCGGTGGTCTGTCCCTACGTTCCCATTGACCATCGACACAGTTTAGAGGAGAATTTGCTTGTGGCATGGTATACATCCTCCATGCCTACAAAGATAGTGCACGCCGCCCGATGCCTAGAAGAGGCACAAGGGTACAATCCATCATTCTTAGCCCAGAAAAGCGAAGATTTGTTCTTCTGACTGGCTTGATTATATTAATGCCCTTGTTCCTTCTGCCCTTGCTCCATCTCTTGAAATAGAAGCATACACACCTTCTCCTCCGCTAAATCCTTACTGGACAGAGAGACTGAGGCTTGTCTTCTCTGCGGATAAGGTCTTTCCACCTTACAAGCCTCCACCTTCCCCTAATCCAGCTGAGCGGAAGCAAGCTCAACTTCTGCTCGCTGCTTTCTCTCACTTGCCCTTCAGTGTTCTTGAGGACGAAGTCCCTCTCAAGAACCTTCGATGGGCTTGTGATATTCTGACCCGGGGTCAAGTTCCCAATCCCCTCGCCCAAGTAGAGCTTCACATGTTTTTGGACCAACTTCCATTGCTTCTCCACTGGCATCGGACCTTTATGGCCACCACACAATCTTTAGACCAACTCTCATCCCTTCGAGTTTATGCCCAGTACGAAGAAGAGAACTTCATTGAAGAATTCGATGATTTCAAGAATAAAGATTCTGTTTACTGGGATGACTTGGATATAGACGAATTGGAACAAGAATTGAGAGAAACAACATTCGAAATAAAGGCTGAAGAGCTCTTTTACGAAGTGAGAGCATATCAACTCATGCAGCCAATGTTAGAAGAAATAGAGGATAGAATAAAGAAAGAACAGAAATTTATTGATCATAGTTGGACCAAATTTCATGATCTTGTTATTTATTCTATTCCTTACTTTTATGAACTTGAATTTGTACCCAAAGAGGGCCATTCAATGTAATTGCTTTTGCTTTAATACAACTAAAACTTTTCTCTTTATTTGGCATTGTTTGATCTTGTCTCCATTTATCTTTAAAAGCAAATTCAGGGCTTCGAACTGAACAATCTTATCCTTTGAATCTGGACTCAATTGTTTAAAATGAAACATTAAAAACCAACATGAACTTTTCCAATTTATGAAACAATAGTTGACAATTTTTGCTGATTTTCATTTAGAATCAGTGCTTTGAATTCGACAGTCCTACCCCTTAAAGTTTATTTCGATCATAACCAACATATGGTTATGGTCAATATGATCAATTAGTTTTAAATTGACCATTTTCCCCTAGAATAACAGCCCATACTTAAAAATATGAAACCTCCTTTTTAGGGCTGCACTGTTTTAGTCTAGAAAGAGAATCTTTCTTAAATATATATAAACCAATTATTGGTTTTGATGTTTCAAATAGCAATTCCTATCCTTAAGGGATCTCAAGTCTTGCTTCGAAGGACATTACTTTCATTGAGAAAGCTAAAACAGGTCTTTAATCCCTTCGAATTAAACGAATACTTGAACATTCTTACGTCCATAAGTATGAAATGTACTTCGAAGCTGACTTCTTAGTTTCGAAGCCGTTTATTATTTGAATTTTGGCGCCAAAATCTGGTTTCGAAGCCAAATACTATACTTCGAAGCTGGCTTCAACATCTGGGATGTGTTTTTCCCTCTAAAAGTATCAATATTGAAGGAAGCTCTTCGTATTTGTACTTTTAGTACTTCACGAATTACGCGATATATCTTCCGGACACAAAGGTTTTTTAAAACCCTTTTTATTTCGTGTTCTGAAATCACTTGCTCGCTCAAAACACAAACCCTTTTTCCTCTGTTAATCCCCTCTTCCTTGCCTCTTCCTTGCTGCTTGCTACCAATGGACTCTTCTTCTTTGAAAGTGCTTGCTGGTGATCGTATAAGCCCAACAATGGCTTTGAGAAGATGTATTGATGAAGAGATCGTCAAGTTAACATCTGATGAGTCAAGCGCCATAGACGGCCGCCTCTTTGTTCCTCGTCACAGCAACAAACAAGAATACATCTTGGGTCCCATCTTTCGAGAGGCTCCTGCTCAACTTCCAGCTTTATACCCTCGTCTGGAGGACCATTTTCTTCTCTACGAAGGAGGGCTCGACTGGGGAAATTGGAGGGTGACCCAACCTTATCGCTGCTGGCCGACATTGAGAGCTGAATGGGAAGAATGGTATGACAGAATTGTACTTGCGCGAGAAGACGACCTGCAAGAGCTCTGTATTCTCGATGCCCTCCGTTTTTCCAGGTTTATCATTCCTGAAGACCCTTTTTTGATTCCCGCTGTTCTTTGTTTTTGGAACATGGCTTTCAATTTTTTCCAATTTCGGTGTGACATGATGGCTCCCACCGTTCTTGATATTTGCCATCTTTTAGGGCTTTCACTCCTTGGCTCTCCTCTCACTCCTAGCTATCCAGACCTTCCTATTAAGCTCTCCTTTCCACCCTTAAACTCCTTTTACAGTGATTTTGTAAAGGCCGAAAATAAAAAGGTAGGTCCCATGAGAGATAGAGAACTTTTTTCCTTTATTTTGTATTGGTTGTGCAAATTTCTCTTTTGTACACCATCTCAGAGGATTATGCCTGAGGTCGCTCCACATCACCTTACCTATCTTTGTCGATCCACTGCTATTCAGATCTCGTAATAACCAATACAAACTGCCACGTGTACGATCAGGATCGAAGACTTGACTAGCCTTCCTGTATTACCCTTATTCTGCCACGCGTCGAATTGTAATTGGCTTGTACAAAATATGTAGCCAACACATATATGTCAGTAACAATTAGCTTTTGTTCAGAATTTAACCAGCATACAAATGGTGTATTGAGATTTTTTTAGTTACATAAATAGAAGGGTGAACTACACTAACAGTCCCTGACTTGTCACTTTGGTCTCCTGTCTTTTTAATTATGATATATTTGATTATGAATTTTGACTCTCGTTTTAAATAAGAACAATTAAAGATATTATTGCTCAATTTTAAAAGTAAAGTCGTCAATTTGATAAAATATAAACTAATTTGATAAAAATAAATGTCAAAAAATTATTTAAAAATTTTTAAAAATTATTTCTACCACTCAAATATAAAAATGATAAATCTTTTACATTTTTATTTATTTTTTATTTTTTTTACCAAATAAATTTTTAGTATGTCTTTGTATGATGATCATGTAATGAGTGATTGTTTTAATTGATGTTTTTGTAACAAATGATTGCATTTGTTATTAACATATATTTTTTTTTGATAGTTATTAGGTAATGAATGGTTATTATACTTTTAATGCGTAATCAATATATTTAATATATAAAAAATTTCAATTTCAATTTCAATTTTGGATTTTTTGATTTTTAATGGATTGGTTTAATAATAACATTAAAATTGTTGTCATATTTGACTTTTGAAATAATAAAAACTAAATTAATGAAAATAAATATATAAAAAAATATTTCTGCCCTCCCAAAAGATAAAATTATATGAAAATGATGTGTTTTTAATTTTTTTTACCAATTTAATTTTTATTTTCTTAAATTTTTTTTTTCTGAAAATATATTCTAAAAATCAAATCAAACAAAATTGTATAGCCAAGAAAGTTATAACATTATTCATTAAAAAAATGCATTACATTTCAAATAACATATAAGTTAATCAATACATAATAAATTATATGATAATTTTGTCCTTAAAATAGACTGTTTACAAATGAAACATCTTTAATTATCTTTATTTGGAACGATATTTAAATTTCAAAATCAAATATATCTCAATTGAAAAGTCAAGACTAAAATAATATAAGTCTCAAATTACGGTTATTAATTATACGAACTGTTAGGATAATTCGTCCTAAATAAAATTACTCAATAATTTGATAGTATAATTTTCCATTATTACCCTTAAGAATGAGAAGACAGTAATCACTAACAAGGGCATAAAGGACTTGACGAAATTTGCAGGTAGATATAAGCGTTGCCCTAAACAAACGGGTCTCTGTTTCTATCTCTCGGTCCAGGACATTGAGAAGCCTCACGAGGTATTCATTCCTCTCTCTGTTTGGGATATTTAGCTATCTGTTTATGAAAAATCTGAGTTTAATTTCATAATATCTGTTTGTTCGTAATTATTATTATTAATGTATTTTTTTTTTTTGGAACTAACTGTTTGTTTGATCTAGAGGTATTCTCTGTATGTTTACTCAATTTCAAAATTGATGATATATGTCAATTTCATGGGTTGAATTTGTGTTGTTAAATGTAGTAGACAATGTATATATATTTTTTTAAAGTCTTTTTACATGTAAATTTGTGTTGATAATAGAAGACAACATTTTTAAATAAATTTATAATCCTTTAACAGCTTTGATTCCAACATGCCCATTTTTGTGTCCTACTGTGGCCAACCGCTTTTGGTTTTAACAGAGTAACCTTCACCTTATAGTTCAGAGAGAGAAAATAGCTAAACCCTAAACCCATCAAATTCCTGTTAATTTTATCAATGGAGTCACAAACTGAGTAAGGGCATTTGTTTGCATTGCATAATTAGGGATAGTAACAGTAATGACAATTTAGTTTTCCTGTTAGAAAGTTTCTGTTGCATTTTTTAAAAACTCCGGAGTGCAGTAGAGGAGGAATTATCATGTCTTCTAAGAATTCCAACTAGGCTGTGTGCCCTTCCAATTCTATTGGTTGCTGTATGTGATATATAGGAGAAAAAATAAGAAATAGTGGGTATGTATCCAATAAAATTATAAGGGTATACCACGTAGGATATGGGGTGGACCTATGTGATAATTTTTGGCAGTGGAGGCACTCCAATGTATTTACTGAGATCATCCATTAGATGAATCTCCAACTGTAAACTGAGAGCTCTGGCTTAGCTCTCTCCGCATTCTTGGAGATAATAACTTTGGATTTAGCAAAAATTAATTCAAATATTTTCATTGCTTGTCAACTAAATTGCCCAAGTGTGACAGGTGAAAAAACTAAAGAAGTATAACATTGATTCTGAATTTGTTGAGAACTTGTAAGCATTGAAATCTTAAAAACCCTTTAGTCCAAAAAAGTTGTGGTATCTTTCATATTCTTTGATATCTCACCTTCTTCATAACAAATAGTGCCTTAAATTGTAGTATAAGTTGGCTAACCGTGTTAACCAGTAAGTGCCATCGTCTGCTTCTCAAGAGGGATGTATGTGCTCACAATCTGTGGATTGGCGGAGGAGAACAGATTTGCCATCAATCTGCAGTTTAGTGTTTCCAAATTCAAATTGTTGATCCTCCCTCTTTGATGCTATGATTTTTGACTCATGACACAACAAACATGGCTGGGGGCACTAATAGTTAGAAACAGCGATAGTTGTACCTCAGGCCTTTAAGTCGAGAGAAACTTGTCTCGCCATTCAGCTAGAACTCCCTTATTGTGTTTCTCCTACATTTTTCTTTGGTACTTGAGAAATCAACAAACTTTAATAAGATTGGAAAGACAAAGTCATATCTCATATATTAAACTGATAATACTTCTATACCTTTTCATCTTGACGTGTTCTAAAATTAAATATGTATAAGATAATTTATACAATAATGCTACAATGACCCCAATTTTTTTTTGTCATATTTGGTTTACCATGTTAGTTGTCATCACTATTTTGGTTTAATGGTCCCTTTATCCCATCACTTATGTTTGTTTCCAATACAGTGCTGCCATATCACACGGTGAACCAAATATGGTCATTGTATTGTAATTTTTAAGGAGTAATATGGTTCTACGTATGCTTGTACTGGTGCTCTCAGGGCACTCAATACCTTATCAATTTCCAAGTTGATCAATCTTGTGGTCTTCTTCTATGTCAGCTCCATGACCTAGGCGATTATAGATTAATCCTAGAAATAAACAAACTAGTTTGGCATATCTTTACCATTCAAGTCGGCATTTCTTTTAGTGCATGTCTGAGCCATCTAGATTTGTGCATTAATTTCTTGTTGCATATGTTCGTTTCTACTCGTATGCTGCTCGCTTTGTGGTTCTGGTCACTATAGGATGTGTCTTCTAGACTGTGTAAAATTATTTATGTAAGCATGGCTTTCCCAAGGACCTACAACCTATTTTACAATTTCCTTGGTTCTATGCTTTGAATTATTAAAAGTGTTTTGCAAGAATTAACTGCTCATTTTTCATATTTTAATATGCTCATTTTCATTTTCATATTTTGGCAATTTTTGATTTTGACTAATTAGAAATTAATTGAGGACTAAGTAATATGGTTTTCCCTAACCTTTTATATTATTATATTGTTTATTGCAGGAAATAGGGGTACTTTTTAATTTATTTTTAAACTCAAAGCCACCATGAGATTGGAAAAATGCTGGTTTTGCTCCTCTACTGTCTATCCTGGACATGGTATTCAGTTCGTTAGGAATGATGCGAAGGTAGTCTTATTTACATTTTGTACTCTGATTCTTGTTTTTGGATTATGTGATTTCAGTACACGGTGTTCAATAGTTTTTATTGTGGCAAATCAGAAAATATTTTTGAAATGCTGGACCCTTTGTTGGTTAGCCACCAAACATAATACTAAATAAAGGGTCTATAAACCTTACAAAGACTTGTAAAATATTGGGAACTTTTGCAATATACTCAGGCTTGGTCCAAATAAGCTTCTTAATTCTATAGGGAGCCAATTATAGTTTGTTAGCGTATTTTGAGTTTACATGGATGGATATAATAATGATTTCAAAAAAACGGTAATTGTTTAGTCTTTAATGTGTACCATAATGAGGCTAAATGGTTAGTTTACTTTGAATTTGAAGTCTCATGCTAGCTGAACTCAAGTTGGTGTGCTCTCGGGACCAATTGGCATGTTAAACAAGTAAATTCTGCTATATAGCGCAAAGAAGACGGGCTTAAGGTCTGGCTACTTGTTAGGTTGCATATGGTCCTGACCAGGGTATAACACCTGTGTAATTGGTGGGTTTCTACTTGAATTTACAATTTGCGGAGATGGTTCTTGAGTATGGCTCTCATAAGTTGTTATAGAACAATATGGTGAACATGGTAATCAATGTGGCCCTGATAACCACTCGAAATGCAGATTTTCCGGTTTTGTAGATCTAAATGTCATAAGAACTTTAAGATGAAGAGGAATCCCCGTAAAGTTAAATGGACCAAGGCTTATAGGCGACTCCACGGAAAGGATATGACACAGGTAAAGAAGCCTGCTACGATTTTATTTACTGGTCTTTCACTCTTTTAACCCTAATACCATCCCTGTCTGATGTAAACTTTGGTGATATCTTGTTCTCTTTCTTTTCCATATTCTACTTCATAGGATTCAACCTTTGAGTTTGAGCGGAAGCGAAATAGGCCAGAGAGATATGACAGGAATCTCACCGAGAACACGCTGAAGGCCATTAAAAAGATTGATAAAGTCAGAGTCGAAAGGGAGGCCAGACACATTGCAAAGAGGTCTTGTTCCTCTCTGTTGTGCTGTTATTCTGGCTTTAAGTTCATTTTAAGCTACCTTCTTATTAGCATCTGTTGGAATATCTGGATGGAAAATGATTTACAAATAGAATTTTCCTACAAAAAATTCAACCAGAATGATGTGGCAGTGACAATGTTGAAATTACAAGTCATAATGAAGGATATACAGTAGGAAATAAAATGCCACATCTTTCTGTATAGAAGTTACATACAGAATTTCTGTTTATAGATCATTACCCTTTCTGGATTTCTTTTTTTGAGGATCAACAAATCAAATGATATTTCTGTTCCAAATTTTTCCTTTTCTTCTCTCTCTGAATCAAACTTTTTCTACAGGATGAAGGGAAAGAAATCCAAGGAGCAGAAGGAGGCGGCGAAGGAGTTGGATCATAGCATTCACATGGTCAAGGCTCCAGCAGCCTTCCTACAAGAACCTTCTCGGACCTTGCCAAAGATCACAGTCAAAGTTCCCCAACAGCAAGCGGAGGAAAATCGCATGGAGGAGTAATCTTGTTACTATGGGATGTTGTTGGGCTCGTATTTTATGATTTGATAGTTTTTGGTCCTGTGTATCCAACAAAGGTTAGGATTCTTGTGCGTATGTGGAGTAAAAAGGCTTTTTGTTCCTGTTTTCTTTTACATTTCAGCCCTGATTATCAAATAGTTCTGGATAGTTTTTCAGTGTATGGAGTGGGTTTTTTCTTTGTTGTACTTTGGGATCTAAACATACTTTTGAAGGTTACCGGAATGTTGTGAACTACCTTGAGATATTGAAACTTTGGAGACTTGTATGGCATAACCAAGTTCAGTATATGCTTTGGAGTCTTTTTGAGTTTGCCAATCTTTTTTTTGTTTCTCTTCCATTTATTTTAGTTCCTTATGTTCAGTCTAGCTGATCAAGTGGATATGAAGATGGAGTAAAAGCCTGATTAGTTTTTTGAGGTAATTGAGTTGAATTCAAACCAATTCTGATGAATTTTGTGTTGAAACTTGCAAAATCATTGCTTGAATACTGTTGCTGACAACATGAATCTGAAAACTTTGAAATGAAGAAGTGCTCAAATTATGTGTTCTTTTGAACACCAAACTTTTTTTTTTTTTGAGAAATAACCAACTTCATATATATATGTATTAAAAGACCATCAACACAACAAAATTAGCTACCTCCTTGCAAGGTAGCTTTTGCCGCAGTATGTGTAGGCTTTACAATAGTACGATGTACCTTCATAATACATAGTCCATACACTTACAAATATTACGTATATCATCTGTTAATGATATAGAGAACCAGTCAATGGCAAAGCCTGATCACAAACTACTAATCAACCCTTGACAATCCGTTTGAATGATCACTATGATATTTCGGGCAACACACCATTGTGGTACCTCCAAACAGCCACAGGCTTCTGCTTGATGTGCAGATTATGCTTGAAATGAAAATGCTCTAGATGCCACCTGCCACCCATTTCTATTGACCACTACCCACGCAGCAGTTGCTTGTTTCCTCTCTTGTTTCCATGCACCATCAACCAGAAATTCTGCTAAAGTGGGATCTACACACCAAGAATTCACATTAGATATAACAAAATAATTCAAATCACATCTTATCACCCTTTGATCATCAATTTGAAAATTCATATCAAGAAAATTGTCCACTCTCAAATTGTTAATCATAGTGATGGTGGAGAGTGGATCAATAATGTAATTATCAAAGGCCGCTTTATTCCTATGAACCCAAATTCCCCACAGAATTTTGATTGCTTCTATAATAACACTCTCATCTGGAGCTTTACGAAACCAAAACTCAATCCAATCTTCCACCATTAAGGCCCAATTTTGATCCAAACCATATCTGTTTAGAAAACGAGCACTGAAAGCACATATGTTCCAGCATCTCATCATATTTTCTACACCTTAGGCAAACAGAGTCTATCTTGATTCCTCTTTTTTGAATAGCTACCTTAACTGGTACAATACGATGACTTAACTTCCACAAAAACATTATCCATTTTGCTGGAAATCTAAGACACCACAACTTTTTCCAATGCATATCTACCCTTGCTCTTCCGCTCCCATTTGTCCTGTCTAAACATTGACTACCAACGGCATATCCAGATTTTACACTATATTCCCCATTCTTACACTTATCCCAAATAACCTTATCAGGAACTTGAGACTTGGGAATATAAATATTAAGGATATGCTGGACCATATTTGTAGGAAAAATAGTTCTAACTAGAGGTTCCCTCCATTCTTTTTTCTCATGATCTATTAAATGTGCAACCTTGAAGTCTTGAAATCTATTCCCCAAACAACACTATCAATTTGTTTCTAATCCCCAGAATCCACCGATCTTCAAAGGGATCAATTAATTTCCCATCCCCAACAACCCACCGACTACCCTATTTTAATAAATCTCTTCCGCATGGAATACTTCTCCATCCCCATGAACAACCATTCTTAGCCTTGACATTTAAAAATTGCACATCCTTACAATATTTCGCCCTCAAAACTTGACTCAAAAGAATATTTGGTTGCGTAAGAATCCTCCAAGCCGACTTAGCTAGAAGTGCCTGATTCAATAGCTTTGGATCCCTCGGACCTAACCCACCTTCCAGTTTAGGCCTACATAGACGTTCCCACTTCTTCCAGTATATTCCCGATCCATTCTTACCCTTCCATATAAAACTTTCGCTTGGGGAGTGGGTTGGTTTTTTGACTTTTTTAACTATTTTAATTTAGGGTTAAAAAGTTTGGTTTGAGAAGAATTTTTTTGACTTTTTTAATTTTTTAACTTTTTGGTAAGGTGTTTTTATGGTGAATGACCAAACTGCCCTCAAAGTGATTTTTTATATTTTAACTCCTTGCCATACATCCACGACGTCAGCATCATTGGTGCAGATTTTATTTTATTTTATTTATTTATGTTTTATTATTATTATTTTTTTTGACATTAGGCGTATTTTTATGATTTTTTTTTAATTTATGTTTTTGTCAATTTTTTTTTTGTATACATTAATTTGTTCTTTTTCTTTAATTTACATTTTTTGTCTTATTTATTTTTATTGGTATACAATAATTTGTTTTTATTTTTCAAAAATGGGTTTTCATGTGTTTTATTTATTTGTAAATTACGTGGCAAATGGTAATTTCTGTTTTTAATTTTTTTTTTGGATGAGGCATATTTTTTTGTTTTTTTTTTTAATTTACGTATTTGTCATTTTTATTTTTATTTGCATACATTAATTTGTTTTTATTTTTCAAAAATAAATTTTCATGTGTTTTATTTATTTTTAAATTACGTGGCAAATGCTAATTTCTGTTTTTAATTTTTTTTTTTGGATGAGGCGTATTTTTGATGTTCTTTTTTTTTTAATTTTTGTTTTTCTCATTTTTATTTTTATTTGTATACATTAATTTGTTTTTATTTTTCAAAAATGGTTTTCATGTGTTTTGTTTATTTTAAAATTACGTGGCCAATGCTAGTTTCTGTTTTTAAATTTATTTATTTATTTATTTTGGTTGGATGAGACGTATTTTTGATCTTCTTTTTTTTGTTAATTTACGTTTTTCTCATTTTTATTTTTATTTGTATACATTAATTTGTTTTTATTTTTCAAAAATAGTTTTTCATGTGTTTTATTTATTTTAAAATTACGTGGCAACTACTAATTTCTGTTTTTAAATTTATTTATTTATTTATTTTGGTTGGATGAGACGTATTTTTGATCTTCTTTTTTTTGTTAATTTACGTTTTTCTCATTTTTATTTTTATTTTTATTTGTATACATTAATTTGTTTTTAGTTTTCAAAAGGTTTTTCATGTGTTTTAATTTATTTAAAATTACGTGGCAACTGCTAATTCTGTTTTTTAAAATTTATTTATTTATTTATTTTGGTTGGAATGAGGCGTATTTTTGTGGTTTTTTTTTTTTCATTTACGTTTTTGTCATTTTTTTTATTGTTTTCAATTTGCTTTTTTTTTTTTGGGCTTGGAAAAAGCTTTTTTATGTTTTGTTTTTTTTAACATGACGTTGAAAATGTAAATTTGGGTGTTATGTTGTTGTCTTCTTTTTTATATATATGTATATATATTAATTTGTTTTTTTTAATTTTGGAAAAGGTTTTTTCATTTTTTTTTGAAATGACGTGGAAACTGCTAAGTTCGGTTAGATTTTATTGACTTTTTATTTTGTTTAATTTTTTTTTGAAAAGTTTTTTTTTCTTGTTTTTTAATTTTAAATGACGTTGACAATGCTTATTTCAGTTTTATTTTAATGTGTTTTTTTGTTGTTGTTGTTGTTGTTGTTTTTTATTTGTTTTTTTTGTTGGAAAAGGCTTTATTATGCTTCTTTTTTTTTTTTCAATGACCTGAAAAATGAAAATTTCGGTTTTTTTTTTGTTTTAATTTGTTTTTTGTTTTAGGAAAAGGATTTTTTATTTTTTTTTAAATGACGTGGAAAATGCTAATTTTTGGATGAGACGTATTTTTGTGGTTCTTTTTTTTTTCATTTTTTTTATTTGTATACATTAATTTGTTTTTATTTTTCAAAAATGGGTTTTCATGTGTTTTATTTTTTTTTAAATTACATGGCAAATGCCACAGAAAGAGAAGTGCTTTTTCTACGATCGATCGGCTTGATTGAACGGCTGGCTTGATTGAGTACCGTAACTACAATACAATAGCTTTCTTGAGCTTGAGTAGACCGTTCGCTTTAGGGAAAAGAGCTCCCGGGGAAACTCATCTTTCTTTCTTTCAAAAAAGTCTTGATCTTTCGGTGGTTTGAGTTCGATTCTTACATGGTACCAGAGCAGAGTCTGACTTAGAGAACGGTCAATTACGACTACGACTTATAGACGTGGACAACCGTGTATCCGCGTTGATAAGGCGCTTTCTTTCCTCGGTCGCAGATAGCAGCGACTTCCCTGCGCTAACAATGAGAAGGTAGCCGGAGGAAAAGATTCTTCCTATCTTGACTTCTCTTGGGGATTCACTCAGCGAGAGAGCCTTTCTTGTACTAATACAAATACAACTAATTTAGTGAAACTAATTGATTGTTCTTCGGCAACAGAAGGAGTAACACGAGGGTACCGAAATCAATATCGGGACAGACGGAAGAATGACAACTAAATAGCGTACGCTGCGTCGGATACTAGATATAGATACTAGAGATAGGCCCAGGAGGGAGGGAAGCACGGGGCACAGAACTCATTTTAGGCTTTAGGAAGGAATTCAAACCTAAAAGCAGTAATAAAAACCATCCTTGCTTGCGAGGAGGGACTTCGATTCACTGGTTCTTATGAACGTCTAGAACACAAGCAAAAAGCCTTAAGAGAAAAGTTCACTGCAGTATCAAAACCTGACGTTCTGACAATGCAGGGTGGTCGTAGATCAGAAATGGGAGTGTTCTTACAGGAAAAAGGGATTGAACCTCAGTATTTTTGTTCATATACGCCCCAGGGATGGCGGAAAGAAAAATCGTCACTTGCCACACTAGATAAGTTTGACTCGATCCCTCCTAACTGGTATGCAAGTTCTCTTCCGTTTTTGGTCTGAAGTTATTCTTACAGCATGCTATTTGATTAACAGAATGCACTCTCGTGTATTGAATGGAAATCCCAATTTTATACTTCCGGATTCTATTCAATTTCATCTTCTTCCTCGTGTGTTTGGCTGTGTTGCGTTTGAAAATGTGTTACATCCTACCTGTGAGAAGTTTGATAATCGGTCCATTCCATGTGCCTTTATTGGTGACTCTCCTGGCAAGAAAGGGTACAAGTGTATGAATCCAAAAGATGGTCTTGTATATCTTTATAAGGATGTAACTTTTGTTGAGCATGTTCCTGATTTTTCAAACCAAGGGAAGCTACTTTGTGATGGTGGCTTCCCGAAGGGGGAGAAGTGTAATGATGAGGGAAACAGATCACAAGTGGTTCTTCCCTCTGAAAATAGTTCATCCATCTATCCTAGTTCTGAGCTGAGAGAGAGTCACTCCTTGGGTCTAACTACTTAGCTATTTTCTCTTTACACATTGCCTTAGCTCTTTTCTTTCATTGATTCCGTTCTGTCTCAACTGCAATCAAGTCATAATCACCAGCAATCAAGTAAGCCAAAGGGGAACCAAGGCATCTCTTCGAAAGGATGGCGGGGTACCTTAGAAAGTACCCGGCGCCTAATGGGACTTTACTCAAAAGTCTTGTTATGCGTCTATGGTAGTCTGGCAAAAGGTCATTGTCTTGCGGTATACGCAATGAGTAGAGAGATCATTCGTCTCTATAGGAAGTCTGGTCCTCTCTTTACAGGACATTCCTGCTTCAATGGTACGTCGGTGGAGAGAGGTCTAGACCACCTAATATGAAGATTTATGTTTCTCTAACTCGATCCGGCATACCTAGATTCATTCCTCCCTTTTATAGAAAGAGGATAAGGGATAAGAGTGATCCGAAAGTCATTCAGGTAGTGTTATCTGTGTGTACACTATCTCGAATGATACTGGTTCCTCCACGTGGAGGGTTGCGGGTTAATCCTGCAACAATTCACATACCAAAGTTCCAGTTAACGGAAGCATGTAAGGAATTGTGTAGGAAGTTTGTTTCCTCTGGTTTCTCCATGTTATCTGCGTATGCTCCTGCTTATAGGACTATCCCGCTTAAATTGGGATATTCTTTTAAGCCGATGTTTACCTCTGGTCCAAATACTTACAAGGATCCTGTGAAGGAGTCCTCTGTAAAGGGATTGGAAAAGTGGGGTAGTAGTAAGCTTACTATCTATCACACTTTACCGGTAGATGCGACGACATTAATGACTTTATTTAAGCCAGAGGATCTATCGGTCCTAGGTTCTTTATGGTTCGCAGACCGTGAAATCATGGTTGATTCCGGTTATGATGCACCGATTGAGCCTATCCGGGAGGGAACAGAGGGTTGGTTGATTGAAAATCTCATCAAACCAGCAATGGTTTTATGGTGGGATCGAATGAAAACCAGACCAGAATTGGGAAGGTTCGGGCGTAAGCTCGAGGGTAGTGGTAAGGTGCGCATTTTTGCTATAGCCAACCCCGTGTTGCAGACCTTAGTTAGGCCTCTTCACGACTGGACCATGCAGGTTTTATCCTCTCTGATAACAGATGGGACTTATAACCAACATGCGCCTCTTCATTGGCTCTCAGGTAAGAAAGAATTATTTTCTTTCGACTTGAAATCCGCCACTGACCTCTTGCCTGTAGACCTTTCAGGTTCACTTTTAGTGAGCTTGTTTGGTGATGAGTTTGCACAATCATGGTGCTTTCTAATGACCATGGTTGGTTTTCGGTCCCCGGATCGAACATCCGTGCCTACTCGCGCTAGGGTTTATAGGTTTACAAGGGGTCAACCTCTGGGTTACTACTCATCTTGGCCAATATTCACATTAACACATCACGTGTTAGTGTGGTTGGCGGCCTATGAAGTATATCCAGGTAAACGTTTTTGGATTATGCCATTCTGGGTGACGATATTGTTATCGCTGATGCCCAGGTCGCTAGAGAGTACTCAGCGATAATGGATAAAGCCATGGGAGTAATTTCTGTGGAGAAATCTCTCGTGTCTTATTCCGGTTGTTGTGAATTCGCGAAGCGATTCATTATAAATAATCA